ACTATTGACTACACTACACACTAACTACACACTAACTACACACTAACTACACAAGATTTGCGCTAAACGTCGCAAATCTCTCACATCTCAAAACACGCCATCACTCCTAAAACTTCCCCCTCCCTAAACAACTAAATGCCATGTTGCCATATCATTTTTTGATTGGTACACATGGTACATTTTTCCACCAATGGTTGTACACGTCATTAACGTGGCTTCACTACACATCAGCCACACCGCTTTGCTCGCTAAAACACTGGTGCACATAATAACGCTGTCATAGCCTGTCAACGACCTTGATTAGCTGCGTATATACGAATGTGAATCGCATCATTTGCTGGACTATGGGATAATGTGGCATCATTCTGATCAGCCAGTCACTGACTAACACTGCATAAACAGAATTGTTAATGTATTTACTTTAACTTCAATTCAGGTTAGATTTTTTTTGTGCGCAGAGTGCCAGCAGTGCGTGCAGCTTAGAGGAAATGCTGGCTGTGACTAAACTTCATATTCAGTCAGCACTGATCAGACGCAGCAAAGTCTCTTTCATGTTGATGTGCTTATCAGATGATTAACTCTGGAGTAGCTTATTGATGAGTTCAGGGTAAGAAAAGCCAGACAACAAAAGATAACTCCGGTATTTCAAACTACTGCTCCTTCCGATCACTCTTCACATCCTGCAGGAAAATATCTTCCTCCTTCATTAGGGTCGTGGGATTTACTGCTGAGGATCTGCAGGCTTCCATAAACATTCCTGCTACTGTTTTCACTTCAAATCTTTCCCAAACATCTTTACAGGGAGACAGCTGCCATGTTTCAGACTGAATGAATCAGCTGGTGGAGAGAAAGGATTCTTCTGACGCAACATTTGTCCAAGTTCAAAAACAACAGAAGTGATCCACTGTAAACATGGTCAACTCATCGGCTGTGCCCCAATTCAGGGTCTGCAGCCTTAAAGGCCGCATTTTAAGGCCGATTACGTCACAGCGACGCGACGAAGGCTGTCCCAATTCAAAGGCTGCTCGAAATGCGGCCCTCAAATGCGTCCTTCATTTCCCTGAACTTTAAGGACGTGAGGGGCGCCCGAAGAGTAAACTTTAAGTAAGTCCTGAATATTATGTCACTTATTTATGTGCAAATGTTTAATAACAAAGAACATTAAAACATTCCTGTTGGCCACATGTCGGCAAAGTCATGTGACATTAGTGACGTTTGTACTAACTTGGTTTTAAAGCCTTTACTTTAAAATATACGCCGTTCAATAGCTGACCTTAATCAGAGAATGATCAAAGCTCATGTAGAAACAAACAAACAAATGAACAAAAGATTTTCTCCTTCATTTCTGTCAAACAAAGCTGTATGAAACGTTTCCAGCTGTTAGTATCATGGTTGCTAGGCAACCTGGGCAGCGCGACGGAGGCTAGACCGTCCCATTTCACAAGCCTCGCACTTCCGGCCTTAGCGGTCTTTAAGTACGCGGCCCTTGAGGATCATTTAGGCTGCAGACCCTGAATTGGGATACAGCCACAGACAAGCCTTAAAAAGAAGCCCCACCCACCTCCTGCTCAGTCAGTTCTGCTTACAGTGGGCAGCCAATCAGGAATCAATTTTCATATTTTATTAGTCCCAGAGGTCTTCATGACCACACCCCCGCTGACTTAATATCAGAAATACGCACCCAACAGCCTCAGGAAGCAGTTGTTAGTTGGCTTCAGGGGCCCAGCTGGACTCGAGGGTCTGGAACAGCCTGCTGGATGAATCAGGCCAGTGGAGGCGCTCGTTTCCTTCAAGTCGCATCTTTAAATTAGTCGTTTGGTACTGGGCCGCGAGAGTTGAGGCTCAGGTGTGAAATGTATGGTTTTCAGGGCTTTTAGCGTTATTTTGTTATCGTTAACTCAGTTTTCCTGGGTCTTTTCACGTGCTATGAATAAATCTTTTCCCGGTACCGGTACTAGTTTTATTTTGTTGTATTTATCCGCGACACCTTAAAGATTTTTTGCAGATTTTGTCTGCAACATTTCTCACTATAGTTTGATTCTGCTGCTCGTGTGAAGTAATTTGTAAGGTGGATTTTGTGGAGTGCTGTATAAAAAGTGTTACTGGGATCATCATAGAATAAAGCTGCCTCAATGAGGCCAAGTTACAGAGCTGCATCAGGGAAAGTTCCCAAAGCATTTCTCCGCAGTTGAACTAATTTTCCTACTTTGATTAAATCAAACAGAGCTTCATCTTAGCTCAACATTAACTAAACCCATGAGTTTGTAGTTTCACAGAAGAGTGAAACGGCACCAATAAAGGGCGGAGTCAGTGAGAACACCACTCTTATGTTCATATCTGTTGGAGGTGATCATTTAGATCGACATCAGTGGGTCCAGAAATAAAAACAAGGAGCTGGAATTGAGCCGTGAGCAGTGTTTAGTATTTTTAAGCATATAAATGACAAAATAAGGACTTTGAAATACATGAAAAGCAGCCGCTCACCCACCTCTGAGACCATAAAACACTTGAGACAGAAAACCACACATCGGTTGCAGTTTTTCTCCATTTGTTTCATCGTTTTTATTTTGCCATCTCCAGTCAGGTGACAAAGGCCTCGAGTGAACAAAAAAAGTTTGCAACTCTACCACCCTCCCCAACCCGATCGAGTCCCTCAAAAAAAGAAACACACACCTCACTGCAAACCGCCTCCCACATTTCGGAGGCCCACGCTGCCACACGCTCACGCCCTCTTAAAAACGAAACGACACTCCTCTTTTTTTGTATTTGGGGGATGGCCCCGATGGACGAGAGGTGCGAGTGCACGGGACCCTCACGCCCCCTCAAACTTCTACACAGACAAGAGACTGGCATCACGAGGGTTAATCACTGAAGTTTCTGTTCTTTTTCTTTTTTCTCTTTAAGGGAGGGGGGAAAGGGAGAAAAGAAATCTTGGTTTTAGAGCTTTGACATGCTGGGGTGGACCTCGAGTGCTCTTTACGTGCCGGCCACCACCGATCCCCCGATCAGGAGAGGGGAAATAAAAATAAAAGGGACCTAGTCGCACTCAAAGGCCATGCTGGAAAGCGGTATGGCTGCTAGAGGGGCGACCTAATCCAGAATTCAGTATCTACAGGGGCAACCCTCCCTCCCTCCCACGGCTTTAACTCAAAACCAGCCCCTCCCCGACCCCCTGATCCCCTTCCCTCTAAAAGGCTTTAAACCTGCTGTATTCAATCTAAAGAATATAAAAAAATAATCATACAAAAGCTGAATCCCGCTGTTATTTCAACATTCAGGAATGTGAGTGGCAAAACCAACACGTCTGAAGGCAAACAGAATAAGCAGGAATTGAGCGACTGATCGTGGTTGTTGTTGTTTTGAAGTCGTTTTATATAAAGTTGCCAAACAAAACCTCAGTGATCAGGCAGAGGACCACGCAGCGAGCTGCGGTGGAACAATCCCAACAGCAAATGGAAAGAGAAACCAAAAGGAGGAGGAGCAAGGGGGGGGGGAAATAAAAGATCAATGATGAGAGAGAGAGAGAGATCACAACAGAATGATTGAGGTTGTCTGTGAAGGCCGACGCTTTGGTGACAGAACCAATGAGAATGCAAGAGACTGGTTGTGGGTGGTGCTTGTTGTCCGGGCAGCAAAGTCTATCAACTCCTTATTTGCTGGCCAAGACCTTGGTAGCGACAGCACATTCCTCCCCCATGGCAGCGATCACGGTGACCTGCGGAGCACAGACACACAAACAACGTGTTCAAGTCAATCATCTGAAACGTTACACGTCTCGCCCTCCTCGCCATCTCCACCCTCTGCTCCCGGGTCAGGACTCCCAACCCCGCCTGCCTCCAGCGACATGGACGTTTGTCTGTGAAGGTTCTCAGGCATCCAGCTCATCCTAGTCCAGGGGTGGGCAACTCCAGGCCTCGAGGGCCGGAGTCCTGCAGGTTTTAGATCTCACCCTGGGTCAACACACCTGAATCACATGATGAGTTCGTTACCAGGCCTCTGGAGAACTTCAGGACATGAGGAGCTAATTTAGCCGTTTAAATCAGCTGTGTTGGTTCAAGGACACATAAAACCTGCAGGGACACAGACCCTCGAGGCCTGGAGTTGTCCACCCCTGGACTAGTCTAAGGAGCTTCTCGGATGAGGTGAAACGTCTTCAAGCAGCTCAAAGAAGTCCAGACGCTTTTCTTTCCAAGCTCCTTAGACTACATGGAAGTTTAACTGCCCGCTTAATCAATTTATGACCCAAAAACAAGGTTGTTGTTTTTAATACTTATGACAAACTGTTTCACAGCCCAGGAATTAGCCAACACCATTGTTCTTTAGACAGATTCAGTACCAAGTCACTGTGACAGCTAAAACGGGGCTTCAGGTCAGGGCTGACAAATATGAATTACATGAAAATTAATTTAACTGCCCGAGACTAAACTCACCATGAATTCTTCACCCGCCTCGAACTTTGACTCGATTTCCTTGCCGACTTCATTGTCGGGGACGCGCAGGTCCTCTCTGATGTCGCCGTTGTCGCTCATCAGGGACATATAGTTCTCGTTGATGTTAACCAACTGCGGAAAAACAAAAAGACATCACTGATCACATCTGCACAGACCTCAAGCTGGTCAAATAAAAACATGTGAGCCACAGTCTCCAGTCTGTCCACAGTTTAAAGTTTCTGAGTCCCAAATGATGTTTAGATCCCTGTTCCTGAAGGTATTCCAGCTGCACATGTAACACAAAGGAAAACTATCCACAATGTAATAAACATTTTAATGTAGCGACTTTCAGCACAAGTTTAATGTTAGTTTGTTTGTTTTCAGCCAGAAAATGATGCGAAGTAAATTTCTAGCCATGTCTGAATCTCAGAAATCTGTAAACTTCATATTTAACAAGCTGGGCTGGATTGACATATTTCTAAGTAGCTTTTTATTTATTCAAGGGTAAACTGTTCATATGACCTCTTTAAGCTAAAGCCAAGCCTTTCTAACCATAAAAGTCTCTTAAATCCTTGAAATCTAAGTTTTTAAAGCCAAACCCGAGTTTTGTTAACAATCCAATTATACCAAATTATTCTGACACTAAACGTAGTGGATGATCATGTGTGATCACCTCCTGAGACCAGGAAAACCCCAGCAGTGCCCAAAAATCCTTACTGAGAGGATTTGGCCATTTTCCAAGCCACAGATGAAGGAAAGTTAAACTAGAGATTTTCTTTAATGATGCAAGTGTTATTAATGTGAAGCGTACAGGAGAGAGAAGCTTTACTTTTTATTTAGGTGAACCAGCTGTGCTCAGTTTGGTTTTGGTGTCATATGCAGAAGTCTTACAGCTAACAAGCCCACAGCACAAAGTAAAGACCAGCACTTCACACTCACTGAAAACTAAAGTGAAAATAAATCTAAGTCCATCCTGATACAGACGACTGTAGAATGAACGAACACTTAAACCCAAACGATCACGTTTGTTTCTGACACAAACAACTTTACGTGACTGCAGCTACGTCCCACCTGAGCCGCAGCACTTCTCACACTTTAAGACACACCAGAGTGAAAACACACCTGTACACATCTGCAGTCAGTCACCTGGAACATAAATGCTAATTATACACCATCAGACTAAAGCAGCTGTGGTAGCACATCTGTAACCTGACAGTTTAACTGTTTGCTCTGCATGAGAAATGTATCCATGCAAAGTGTACTGAGGTACATTAAATATTATTCGGACTCTTTGAGCCGTTTCCATAGAAATGTGTTCATTTGCAAACTCAGCATGTTGGATGCTGGGCCGAATATCCCACAACTTGATAAAAATGTAAAGGTAGTGAGCAAAAGAAGGACAGTATAGAAACTTTTACTGGCTCAGAAACACACAAGACCATAACCAGTTACACTTTATTTCAAATTCTATCTGCACTGTGGTAACGACCTGGAACCAGGTGTAACTAAACAGGTGTAACTAGCTGCGTGCAGCAAGCCGTAGGTTACTCAGGGTTCATCTCAGCTGCACCGCTTCACAGACGAACCCAACTTTTGACACCCGAGTGGTCACATCTTTATTTTAGCAGATATCTGAGCTGTTCATGTAAAGACGCCCATTTCTTGAAGCTTACGTCTCATTTTCTCCAACATGAATGTTAGTAATTGGATTATTTGCAGGCTTATGAGTGGAAATGTTTCCTTCCATTCGAACATTAAAACATCTACAGGGACAATGAGGTTAAGCAGCACATGTTCGGCTGTTATCCGAACATTTCTCCGACTATAAAACAAACTTCCAGTCCGGTTTCTGGAGTGACTGATTCACACAACAAAAAAGACGCCCTGTGAATATTTCCACCTGCTGACTCACTGTTGGGAGGCAACCCAACAGAACCCAAACACACCAGATGACGCAGCCGCTCCGTCACCACCAGCTCAACCACCGTGTAGCCTTTCTAACAGAGTCAGCTGACAGGAAGTACCTGATAGTCTATCCTCTTGATGGAGGGAACATCCATGTTGTGGGTGGAGGGGCACATATCTTCATACTTCTTGTTGGTGAAGATGTCGATGCCAACCAGGTTAACCTGAAGGGAAGACGAGGAATTCACAAGTGTTTAAACAAAGGAAACAGGAGCCACTGAAAGCAGCACAGCAACTGATCAACCTGCCAGTGTCACGCCATCACACCAGCCCGGGGACTCAAACTTCAATAAACGCCTAAAAAACAGAAACCTCAGCCCACTGTCCGACACTCTGCATTATGATTTCAGCTTAACCAGATATTCTTTTTTATGAGGGGCTATTTTGGTTTACTTAAATCTCAAGTTACACCAATTCAAAATGTGCATGAAAAGTCATCTTTGGTCCCAAGTGTTCGTCCTTCCATCAGTCCTGAAAGTTTGCACTTAACTAAAAAATGCAATTAAATCTACTGCTCCTGCAATCAGCTGCAAAATTTAACTTTTTTTGCCCTCACTGAGTTGATTCACAGTGACATTAAACACTGTGCAGGCTACAAGTGCCCAGCTTGATCACTACCAGCCTTTATTTGGCTCAATGAGAGCTTCTGTTTCAGGTCTGCTTAGTTTTAAAGTGCATTTCATGTAGAGTGATGCTTATTGTGCATTTTCACTGTCACTGCTCTGTGCAACAACCGACTGTGCTGCCATCTATCTTTAGATTCTTAGAGTCACATCATCCTGATGGAAGTAAACGTTTAATTAGATTTAAGATCTGAATCTTTACGAGCTGAAATGGAACATTTAATAAAACGGTCGTTCAATTTTGTCAACTCTGGATTTTCCCTGCAAACAAAAACAGATTTTAGGTCATTGAAAGAAGAGTCAGAGACCGATTTAAAAACAGAACTTTTAAGAGTGAGCTTTAGTTTAATCTAGCATCCAATTTATTTGTTTCATTCATCTAAAGCAGCAGTCCCCAACCCCCGGACCGGTCCGTGAGTCGTTTGGTACCGGGCCGCGAGAGTTGAGGCTCAGGTGTGAAATGTATGGTTTTCAGGGTTTTTAGCGTTATTTTGTTATCGTTTTTATCGTTTACTCTGTTTTCCTGGGTCTTTTCACGTGTGTTATGAATAAATCTTCTTTTTTTCGGTACCTGTACTAGTTTTATTTTGTTGTATTTATCTGCGACACCTTAAAGGCTGGTCCGTGAAAATATTGTCGGGCATAAACCGGTCCGTGGCGCAAAAAAGGTTGGAGACCGCTGATATAAGGCACAAAGTGATGAAAAATAAAAATTTCACACATTAAAATATCCGAGTTTGTCTAAATTAAACAAGATTTTGTGGTTTACCAAATATCCACTGCAGCTTTATTCTATTCATTTTCAATTACTTAACACTTGTTTCAAATTTTGGATTTCTCCCTAAAGCTTCTGACAGGTTTACAAAGTTGGGCTGTAGTTACTCAAACTTAAATGAAAACGGTCAGAAATCAGAAAAACCGACCAACGTCTGAAGTCTTTGCTATAACTGAAACCTGGCTGCACAAAAAGCCCCCTCAAGCAAAAAACCCCCAGATAATTATTGGATTTAATTTTGTTAGTACTAAGATGGAGATTACCATCATGCTAATATAAATCAACCAATAAAAAGGTCAGAAGGCATCTTCAACGGGACTCAAATCTAAGGACTACATTTGTCCCATTTTGTGGTCGTGGAACACTAAACTGAAAAACTTCATTTTCCCCCATTTTTATCATGACTGAGTCCCATGTGAGGGCAAAGTACACACAGGAACACTGTGGGTGAAGATAAGAAGGCCTTGCTTTAGTAAAGCAACACTTCATACAGTTTGGATCAGACAGGTTTGAAACCTGAGAGCCTCAAAATCCAGGCCGAGCCTCAGGTCTCTGCTCCAAAACTTTATTTTAAACTTTCCAGCTTACAGTCAAAGGAGCTTGCAAAGAAAAGCGTCTGGACTTCTTTAAGTTACTTGAAGACGTTTCACCTTCATCCGAGAAGCTTCTTCAGTTCTAAGGTCAAATGGTGGAGAGTCCCAGATTTAAACCTAGTGGCTCAGGTGATTAGAGGATCATCGGGGGGTCCTTTTGTCCCTCTGTGGGGGGAAACTCCCACTAGGTTTAAATCTGGGACTCTCCACCATTTGACCTTAGAACTGAAGAAGCTTCTCGGATGAAGGTGAAACGTCTTCAAGCAACTTAAAGAAGTCCAGACGCTTTTCTTTGAAGCTCCTTTGACTACGATGACCTGGATGACTGAGAACCTTCACAGACATCTTTCCAGCTTACAGCAGTCCTCCACCTGAAAGCTCTCAGCCTCTGTCTGGTCTTTACTCTGTGCATTGTCCTGTTTCATGTTCACCGTCCCCCTTTTCTGTCCTGACCAATGCTCCTTACCATGCAGTATAAAATGATCTGAAATAAAAGGACTAAACAGCTCCTGAGTTTACCTTAGCATGTCCGTGCTTGCCGGTCTTGGAGGTGGACATCTCCACAATTTTGCAGGGACGACCCTTCAGCACCACGTAGCCGTTCTTACGCAGAGCAGAGCACTGCATGGGGTAGGTGGCGGAGGCGCCAGACTCACCAGTCTGGAAATCGAGATCGGGATCTGCCATGGTGCGATGGGTCTGGGGCGCTGGTGGAGACAGTTACACATCACTCACCCCGAAATCAAGCACAGAAATTTATATCTACAGACTTCCACACTAAGCAGTCACAGGGTTAGGTTCTCGTGGACAAAGACATGGCATTAACATGACAGCGAGCAAAAATCAGAAGGTAACCTGACCTAGTCAAGTGTAAACTTGAAACAGAAACGTTCAATACACCTCTTACATCTGTCCAAATGCATCCTGATTTCAAAGCTTTTGGTGTAAAGTGTTACGGGGGAAAAAACCCTGTAAAATGACCCAGTAATTATTACACTTTTATACATTTGCCAAATTGTGGTTAAATTACAACAGTTTTGGCATCCCTGACCCTGGTCAAATATAATAGTTCTGTACATAACAGAGGATTTAAAGCGTCGGCGTTGGTGTTTTCACAGTAGTTAATGAGGGAAAACATGAATCTCATGACAGTTGTCAACAGCAGCCTGATGTAGATCGAGTCCTGTGAATTAAATGTTTGCAAAGCACTAAACTAACTCACCTAGACACTGATTACACTACCTTACTATTGACTGGTGTCATTTGGCACTATATAAATAAAATTGCAATGAAATATTTCTTAACTTAAAAACAACTTAGATCTCTGCAAATTTCTGGGATTGTCAAAATTTTAACGAGTTTAATGCTTGCTGGAAAAACATTGATTCTACTTCAACTCAGCTAAAGTTTAAGGAGTTTCATAATATTTCAACATGCCTGATTGTGGCTTTGATTTTGACCCAATGTAAACCACAGCCCCCAACTGCTTCCCCATCTTTAAAGGGTTGAAACACTACCTTGGGCATACATTGATTAAAAACAAGCAATTCAATACAGCCTTGTTTAATATATTAACATTAACACCAAAGAAAAAGCAAATTTGGGTTTTTTGCTGTAAACATTGCAATTTGTAAAAATTATGCAAAAAATAAATAAAGTGTTTCTACTTTAATAAATCTGCTATGCTCGGCTGAGTTTTGAGCCACTTTAACAGTTTTCTTTCCTGCTTTGATTTAGACTACCGCAGCCTTTTCCTGGGCCCCACGGAGCTCTCTGCTACTTTTAGGTAGATATCGCGAGATTTCTATTGTAAAATAAATAAATAACTAAATGAATAAAGGTGCAGTCCTCTTGATCTGCTGGGAAATTAATTTGAGTGTGATCCGAATAATACATTTTAAATATCCAATTTGAAAAAGAAAACAAAAAACAAAACCCTAAGCTACGCCGAAACGTGGACGTCGCCACCCCGGTCGACACGAGGCTGGACGGCTGCGCCACTTCTCAATCTGCCGCAGCAGTTTTATCGCAAATGTTAGCAAACCCAGTGGCCGCATGAAGTTCAAAGTCAAAATTCACTCGCAGCCACTTCTTCGCCCCATCGGTGCCACATAAATAAATTAAAGGTTAATCTTTTAATGATCAGAAGTTAAGCTGGCTCAGAGTTTACAAATGTAACGTAGCGCTGTGAAGACAGCAGAGAATAGTGCATCAAACGCTAAAATTAGCACGTATTATTCTGGATGTTTTGGTTTATAACCATTTATTGTAACGCTATCGGGACAGGATTTCGATGCCGCGAGATTTGCGGCTGGCCAACGTGCGCTGCTGTTTCACAAACACCAAGTCCCGTTATCCGAGCTAACGCGCTGCTAGCGGCGGCTAACCGAGCTAGCCGTCCATTCAGCTCGGTCCAAATAAAGGCGCGGATTAATCTCGGATCGACAGCGGACCGGGTACAAACCATCAGTCTGTTTTTTCCTGATCGGCCCGCCGGGTCGTCGGTTAACAGTGCGGGTTTTAACCGCGAACCGAAGACACGAGCGTTAGCGCGGAGAATGACAAGCAGCTTCCACGGAGCGCGCCGCCGAAGGCCGCATGTCCCTTTGATTCAGCATGCTAGCGCTAGTCGGAACATGGACACCCACACCCTACCCTGCCACCGACTACATCCACCGGGAAACCGACTAACTACTCCCTCGGCATCTCAAACCAGTACATGACTACTTTAATACCTCTGAAATCGTTAATGGGTCACCTAAAAACCGCTAAAGTCCACCGTTTATCCCCCCCAAGGCAGCAACACGCGCCATGCCACACTTACCTTCCAAGAAAAAGAGGACCTAAAGTGCGCATGCGCGGCCAACTTGACTGCAGCATCCGTAGAGGAAGAAAGGAGGGGAGGGGCGTTTATGTGTTCCGGTAGCAGCCAGGCAGAAAGGGATGCCAAGTCTGAGGCAAACATGGCAACCCGGGTCGATTACCACGGCCAAGAGAATACAAAAATACTAATTTTTAAAAAATCCTGGTAATGTACTTACACAATAATATGGATTAGATTTAGGTTGGCTAATATTTTGTTAAACACAAGGTATTTATTTCTAATACTTAATATTGGGCATGAGTTCTTTTTATTACAACAAATGTGATGTACAGAGCTTTAGTAGCTACAGAGGGATAAAGTTGATGAGTCATACCATGACGATATGGGAGAGTTACTGAAGGTAGGTTAAGAAAAAAGGTAACGATCAGATCAGCAGAATAGCTGCATGCATGTCTGAGGGTGGTGCAGGGCACTGAGACAGTGGGGAGGTGTGCTGCAGAAGTGACAGGCCTGGTTTGAGTCCCTACATGTTTGCAGTGATGGTGGACAGACTGACAGATAAGGTCTGTCAGGAGGCTCTGTGGACTATGGTATTGCAGATGACATTGTGAGCTGTAGTGACAGCAGGGAGCACGTGGCAGAGAGGCATTGGTGAGAAAAGGGATGAAAATCAGAAGAAAAAAGACATTTATGAATGACAGGGAGATCGGTGTAGCAGTGAGGCTGCAAGGAGCTGAGGTAGTGAAGATATATGAGTTTAAATACCTGAGGTCAACCAGCCAAAGCAATGGACAGTGAATAAGAGAGTGCAGGCAGAGTCGAGTGGATGCAGATGTTTATTTGTGACAGAAGGATAGCAGCAAGACTGAAAGGGAAGGTTTTCAAGATGGTAGTGATGCCTGCTGTGACGTATGAATTGGACACAGTGGTACTGACAACAAAAACAGGAGGAAGAGCTGAAGATGTTAATTAAAAACATCAGAGGAACAGCTCAGGTTGAGAAGCAAGGCTGTGATGTTTGGACATGTGTAGAGGAAGGACTGGGGTTATAATGGACAGAGGATGATGAAGATGGAACTAGCGGAAAGGAGGAAGAGCTCACCTCAAAGAAGGTTCATGGATGTAGTGGAGGAAGACATGCAGAACATTGGTGAGGTGTTTTGATGAACCTTAATAAACTGCTCCTAGATATTTACATCACCTAGTGGCAAGAATAAATCGCCATTAGGCGATCATGACATTCATATTGTATAACATAGAATTAGTGAATTTTCTCTAACGCCTCCTAGTGGCAAAACTCCTTCCATCTTCTTAGGACACTCCTCACTCCTTAGTACATTTAATACTAATTTAAAGTACTGATAAATATGTAAAGATCCTTTTACTCTGTAGACGCTATAAAGTTTAAGGTCTCCATCCATTAGTTTGGCTTTAACCATATGTTGCTCCAACATAACACATTCAGCATTAATGGTGCCCTCACAGTTAGCCGAGAAACGTGTACTAATGCCCCGATCCCATCAGGGGTACTGGCTGTGTGTGATGATGTCCTCTTTAATTCTTTGTGTGTGGTACGTTTCTGAAACTTTGTTATTTTTGTTTTTCGTAGTCACTTGGATGAGTGGCAGAACGTTTCTCCTGCTGAAAACGTTACATCCAGATGAACAGAATCAACGTTTTGGGATTTCCTTACCTGGATTGAGCATGCATTAAGACGTTACATGGTAGAGTGTGAACATAATGTGCAGATGCACTGAGCTTTGGTCACTCTTGGTGGTTCTCTGCAGTTTCCCTGAAGCCCATGCAGTGACCAGCTCAGTGTTTGATGGATAAAGGAACATGCATGTGTCTACAGTTAAAAAGTATTTGGCTACTTCCTGATTTATTTATTTTAATCTATTTTGCACATTTGTCACACTTAAACATTCCTGATAAAACAAATGTTAACGTTAGTCAGAGAGGTGCAGTCCTCCTGATCTGCTGCCCAATTGCCTCTTAAACTGGTTGTGCCTCCCTCACCAGTAAAAACTGCAAACAATTGTTTGTGATAATAGACAACAAGTGTTTCACATCACTGTGGAGGAACTTTGGCCCACTCTTCTTTGAAGAAATGTTTTAATTCAGCCACACTGGAGGATATTCCAGGATGAATGGGATGTTTAAGGTCATCCCAAAGGATCTCAATCAGCTTTAAGTCTGGACTTTGACTCGGCCAATCCGAAACCTTCATTTAGTTTTTTGAGCCATTCAGAGCTGGACCCACTGGTGTGATTTTGACCATAACCAACCTGCTCTTCATCTTGACAGCCTGACTGATAGTGGGACATTCTTCTTCAGGAATGTCGACTCAGATTGTCACCACAAAGGCGGCAGCTTTTTCCCCAATTAGGTGTTACGATGTTTTCAGATGACTCTTGTTCTTTAAACGTTCCTTTTAGCTCTACTCCCATTTCTTCAAGATGTTTTACTTTTTGGTCAGTGGAAATAAAAATGTGTTCTTTATAACTTGCCTTGTTAAATAAAGCTTACACTGAACAACAACACCATCTGGTACAAATTGGTATTACCCTAAAGTACAGCCTTACCACATTCAGTTATCTTTTTAACAACATACATGGATGTTTCGTACATAAAGTCAATTTTTCCAGACTGCTTTGAATATATAGGAAGGCAACAATAACTTAATTAACGAGTTGTTACAACCAGGGTGTGCAGAAGAGCACAAAGCTTGCAGCAGATGTGCAACAGCAGCAGAAGACCACGCCAGTTGAGCCTCCTGTCACCTAAGAACAACCTGAGGTTACAGATCACACAGGCTCACTAAACGTTAGCCACAGAAGCAAAAATGTTGCCTGGTCTGCAACATTCAGATGGGGGGAAGAACGGTAATTTAACTGACTTTGAATGTGGCACGGTTGTGGGGTCAGAATTTGGCTTAACATGAAATAATGGCTCCATCCTGCCTTGTATCAGCGGATTCAGGTTGGTGGTGGTGTGAGGGATCGTTTGTCGGCACACTTTGGACTGCATGGATTTCCGTCATGGATGTGGAGCCAACAAATCTGCAGCAACTGTGTGATGCTTTCATCTCAATA